ATTAACTATTATCAATAATATCGATAAAATAATTATAGTTAATAATTTAATTAATAATAAAATAATCAACTAGCTAATAATTAACGATTGACTAACCACTGTTGGTAATGTTAACTATTATTAATAATATCGATAAAATAATTATAGTTAATAATTAATTAATTTAATTAATGATAAAATAATTAACCTGCTAGTAATTGATTACTAATCACATAAGTGTTTAACTAGGAATTAATTATTTAACGTCATTATTAACGACGCTCTTCCGCGGCTCTCTGCGCGCTGAACCCGAAACGACATTAAAATAAACTCGCAGCGTTCTCCGCCCGCAGCCGAGCGGGACTGAGCGTCGTCACCTCCGGGGCGAACCGGCCACGACCGGCTCTGCCGTGGTTTGTCGGCCTGAGACCGAATTACGCCGATTCAAGCCGCGGTGGGGACGAGAGCGGACTCGCGGTGCTTTATGCTAATGAGCCGTTTCCGTGGATCCATAAGCCTGGGAGGCCACGCCCACGATGACCTCATTGATATGCTAATTTATGCAAATAAGACCCCCAAGGTGCCTCTTCCTGGATCCGCTGTGGGGTGTTATCCACACAGATCATGCACATGCGCATAGTTTATGCGAATGAGAGAGCACAACGTATGCAAATAACACGCGCATAATTAATGTGAATGATGCATGCATAATATATGCAAATAACAGGCTCATGATCTATGTAATATGTGAGTAATGTATGCAAATAACACGCGCATAATTAATGTGAATGATGCATGCATGATATATGCAAATAACACGCTCATGATCTATGTAATATGTGAGTAATCTATGCGGATAACAGACGCATAATCCATGTGAATGATGCATGCATAATATATGCAAATAACACGCGCATGATCTATGTAATATGTGAGTAATGTATGCAAATAACACGCGCATGATTAATGTAAATGATGCATGCATAATTTATGCAAATAACATGCGCATGATCTATGTAATGCATGAATACAAAATATCATAAATTATGCAAATGATATACGAATCATCACGCAAATGAAGCATACATTAATAATTTATGCAAATAACACGCTTATGATCTATGTAATATGTGAGTAATGTATGCGGATAACAGACTCATAATTAATGTGAATGATGCATGCATAATATATGCAAATAACATGCGCATGATCTATGTAATACATGAATGATCTATGTGGATAACACACGCATAATTAATGTGAATGATGCATGCATAATATATGCAAATAACACGCTCATGATCTATGTAATACATGGATAATCTATGCTAATAATACACAACCTATGAAAATTACACATGCGTAAATCATGCAAACCAGAAATCAGAATTTATGCAAATGATGTATGAATCATCACACAAATAAAGCACGCATGCATAATTTATGCAAATAAGGCGCGCATGATGTATGTGAATGATGCATGTATAACATATGCAAATAACACGCTCATGATCTATGTAATATGTGAATAATCTATGCGGATAACACGCGCATAATTCATGTGAATGATGCATGCATAATATATGCAAATAACATGCGCATGATCTATGTAATATGTGAGTAATGTATGAGAATAACACGCGCATAATTCATGTGAATGATGCATGCATAATATATGCAAATAACATGCGCATGATCTATATAATGCATGATATGATAAATTATGCAAATGATATACGAATCATCCACGCAAATAAAGCATGCATGCAGAATTATGCAAATGAAATAATCTATGCTAATAACACGCAACCTATGAAAATTACACATGCGTAAATCATGCAAACCACAAATCAGAATTTATGCAAATGATATACGAATCATCCATGCAAATGAAGCACGCATGCATAATTTATGCAAATGAAACGCGCATGATCTACGTGAAGAATGCCTGCTTGATTTATGCAAATGTTATATAAATAATCTGTGCGAATAACACGCGTAATTTTTACGTTCCCAGGAATATCAGGTCGCCACGCCGTGGGTCCCTGATCTACGCTTGTTTTTGTGCTAATTTATGCAGTTTTATGCAAATGAGGCGATGCTCCACGCACGCGTCACGTGTCCCTGCTAATTTACGTAGATTTGCTCCAGAGACGTCGTCCAGCCTCCCTCGGCCACATTCTTATCCATGCTAATTTATGTAAATGTCCATGCAGATGAGCAGGCGGGGCACAGGAGGCTCGCAGCCCCGGTCTCATCTGCATGCTAATTTATGCAAATGAGATTCACCAAGCTCACAGCCACGTATTCTATGCTAATTTATGCAAATGAGATTCACCAAGCACAGCCATGTATTCTATGCTAATTTATGCAAATGAGATCCGCTAAGTTCACAACCATGTGTTCTATGCTAATTTATGCAAATGAGATTCACCAAGCCCACAGCCATTTATTCTATGCTAATTTATGCAAATGAGATCCGCCAAGCTCACAACCACACATTCTATGCTAATTTATGCAAATGAGATCCGCCAAGGTCACAGCCATGCATCCTATGCTAATTTATGCAAATCAGAAGCACGCGCTGCAGCACATGCAAATCCATGCTAATTTATGCAAATGAGGCGCACGCTGCTCGGCGTTCCCGCTCTATGCTAATTTATGCAAATTTATTATCGAGCGAGGCCCCGCCCCCGCGCTGACCGCCCCGCCCCCCCCGCAGGCGACTTCTTCCGGTCCCGCCTCCCGCGCGCCGACCTCTTCCTGCTCGCGCGGGTCCTGCACGACTGGACGGACGCGGCCTGCGTGCGGCTGCTGCGGCGGATCCGGCGGGCGTGCCGGCCAGGTGGGCGGGGCTGGGGCGGGGCCGCGGGGGCGGGGCCGCGGGGGCGGGGGGCGGACGGGAAGTGACCTCATGTGACAGGAAGTGAGGATGCGGGACAGGAAGTGAGTTTATTGAGACAGGAAGTGGATTTACAGAGACAGGAAGTGACTTTATTCAGACAGGAAGTGAGTTTATGCAGACAGGAAGTGAGTTTATCCAGACAGGAAGTGACTTTATCCAGACAGGAAGTGACTTTATCCAGACAGGAAGTGACTTTATCCAGACAGGAAGTGACTTTA